TAATGCCACCTTGTAAAACAAAACTGGTTTTGGTCATCTCTTCCTCTAACATGATTTAATAAATCTCTTTTTCTATCAAATCTTATGAGTTGGGAATTGTTAGAATACTAGAAGCACAGTGACCTTTTGTTGTTTTCTTACCGCTTTTCTTAAATTAACAGATTACTTTATGTGAAAGTTCACTAAACCGGAAAAAAAAAAAAACAACCCACAACAAAAACATGAAGTAAAAGCTAGAAAACATAAGCAATTAAAAAGTTTTATTGCTTGCTAAATTCACTCCCTGCCACATTTTATATTTGTCTCATCTACTGTGTTCCCTTTCAACCTAATTGCATGGAAAACAATCCACTGTCCGTAGGGCATTAAAACCACCCATGCACTACGAGTGACTTCTTTTAGCTTTTGAACAATCCTATTACATACCTACTTCTACATTTTCCTATAATAGCTGCATTTCTGCTCACCACACCAAGGACCTATCATGTCTCTGTGTGTATGCATGTGTTATGCGGGGGATATCCACCCAAACAGGTTAAATATTGCATCATAAGACAAACCAACACTTCAGCGCTCATCTTGTAAAGGCTGTGTGCTACATTTACAGTATCTCAGTGAAGTAATGGATGATTACAGAAGAAATTCTATGCAGAAATCTTGGATATGCACAGTACTTGAACACGCTTTCTCTCAATTTCTGAACCTGTTCAGGAAAATCAATCATACGATCACTAAACGAACAAGGAATAATTTGCAGCTATAATTTGCTCCTATGTAACAGATCTTTAAGGACCATCTGCCACTTTCTCAAGGGCAGCTCTTCTTTTCTTCTTCTCAAACTCATAAACAAAAATACTTTGTTTCCTCAAATGAGTGAATGTCATCTTACGGTGACTGTTCGCCAACTTAACTCCACAGAAAAAAAGGCACAAGAAAGAATAGAGGAAAAAGTACTCTGTGCTCACTGCTAGTTACCTTGCAGCTTACAGGCTTTCAGCAGGCTAAGGAGTATCCCAAAATCTCACAACATACTGCTAGCACTTCACAGTCCTTGACAGAGCTATTGCACCCACCAGTCTGAAGCCTTTCTCAGAAAAATGCCAGTAGACACGACAGATGTAGAAATGTAATGAAATAACAGTGAACGTACAACTTAATGACAATTAACATAATTTAAGAAGCTATTTTATTACAAAGGTGCTAAAACTTTTAAATGAAGTTTTCCAAATGAAGTTAACCTGCAAAACTTGAAAACAATCTGAAAACCAAACAATACTTTCCTCTTTGCCCAGCACTGCTAACAACACTGCCATGGTTTAAGCACACTCACATTCTCTACTGTAACACCGTTTACATTCGTATACAGAGGCATGTGATTTCTTTAGACCATACTGTGGTCTGAAATACCACACTTTTATTTTTTTTTAAAAAAAACCCTCTTGGCTTATCAGAGTTGGAAATTAAGTGACGGATTGTGCAGTATTCTTCATCCTATTCTATTACACATATGAGTATTATTACTATTGAAGCACTAAAAATTAAAGGCACTAAAACTGTGAAAAAAATACTTTTTTTTTCTATTAAATATTTTCATATAGGAGCATGAAAGCTTAGTATAAAACATGTCTTACTTGTCTGAAGAAGGGATCCCCTAAAAATTCTCCATTAATATCTCAAAATTTTTCTCTCAGAAATGGGAAAAATCTTTACATATGACAAATCCTTTTACAAACACAGACTAAAAGAAAATGTTTACAGAAGCTTTGGCTCATTGGCTAGGAATAGTACTCCTTTTCTCTAAAATAGATTTAAATGGAAATTCTGATTAAAAATTCCATTCACAAAGTACTGAGTCCAAGTAGTCTACTAAAAAGCATTATCAGTTGTTCTTTTCCATTATGAAAGACATATTTGTATTTATGTAACTTACAACAGCATCTGGCCACCTCATTAGTGAGTGTTAAATTACAGGAAGCAAGAGTATTTTGTGTTCATAAATGATTAAAAGCAGCACAGAAAACAGAAACTGCAAACTATACTACTAATAGTTACTACAATCAGGAACACTCATGCACAGCAAAGCTGTGCTGAATGGGGGCAAGGGGAAGAAGCATGTACTCCATGTTCTCAGTTTCTCTGACATATGGCAGTAAGGTATCAGTTCTTCTCTATCACAGCTGTGTTCCAGTCTCCAGCTATCACTTTTTCTGAAATCCTGAAGAAGGCCTTGCCCTCTTCTAATCTAATGATTTCCTACTGAAGCTTTTGGCTTCTTTCTTTCAAATTCTAGTCCTTCAGAAATACTCCTTGTTCTCTTGATCTTATATCGTCTCTGTTCATGACTATTTTCAGCTACTTCATTTCGAACCTGCTGACTGCTTGGACACTTAAAACTCTGTCATGCACTTCCACTGAATCATTGATGTGCCTCTGTTTACTCCTCTTCCTCTGTTTCTCATGAGAACTACGTTACTACATGAGATCAGATAGATAATAAAAAGGTTAATAACAAAATTAAAAGTTACTTCTGTAACTTAATATGTATTCTATGTACCATATTGATTCCCAATATACAAATGAGAATCGAGGCTGAATGAGTGGGGTTTACAAAAAGAAGTCAGAATAATCTGATTCAAACAAAACTTGAAACCACTTTCCACAGGGAACTCCTTTGTTGGAAAATTAACAGTAGTCTTAATGTGTCACTCATCAAACACCCCAGATTCAGTCCCAGCAGAATGGGGAACGACAACGTGTATTTTGCAGGCCTGGCAAACAGCAAGCGTACCGAAATTACTTTAGTCAAACCCAGTACATCAGGATAAGTAAAGCTCTCTTTTCGTCTTCTCTAAGATCAGAAATATAGCTAAGGCCACTAGCCACAGCGATTGACACACAGCAAGAGAGGCAACATGTCTCATCGATACGGAAAGCTTCTCCCAGTCATGATTTAGCAGTAAGAATTTGCCCAGCCAACCTGCTAATAAATTCAAGGTACAACTTATTCTTTATAACATCCCCACAAGGCAATCTTTGGCAGGCAAATGATGGATGGTTAGCACCATCATGTTTTCTTAGTCTGTGATTAAATCAGCTGTCAGTACCCTAGATCTCATTTCATATGAAGGTGTCTGGAGAGAAGGGCTAATTCTGCACAGCCATTCTGCAACACTGGAAGGTACTGAAGCTTGCTGTGACAGGTAAATGATGCTGAAAAGGAAAAGTAGCAGGGAGGAATGCAGTCCTGGAATCAAAGAGCAACTATTGACATAGCATCTTGGAGTCAGTGAAAGGTAGTGAGTGATGTTTTCAGGATATGTAAAGGATCAAACCCAGGGTGAGGTCCTGGAACACCCTCACTTCCTCAAGGGCTGATGAGAACAGTGCCCTCTCTACAGAGGAGTGGTTCACTCATGCCAAAGAAGCCCATAGCCAAAACCAAAGTAGTAGATACATGTTTGCATTACTTCATCCTGGCTGCTTTTGAATAAGTTAGTGCAGAAGAAAGTTGAACAAGGGCCATATTGAACATTTCACCTGGGAGAAGGCGGGATTCTCAGCACAACGGACTTCAGCTAATTTGGTACCAAGAATTTTCATCTGTGTCCAAGATGGTGCTAAATGGTCACGCTGAGCTTCCAGACGCAATAATGCCTACACAGTGGGGTTTCTCTTTGGTTTTTAAGGTCAAGTGCTATCAGAAGTGTAGTCCTGTCTAAGACAACAGACACCCCCCATTTCTGGATCAGAGGGTGAAAGCTCACCATCAGTCAACCAGAAAATTTAGAGCTTAGCAATTCACAATACACTATGTTGCAAAATTTAAGGTGGCTAGGTAAAGGCACTACATTGCTATCTGAAGCAAAGGGGCACAGCCTTCTGAAGAAAGGCAAAACAAGACTTTTGGAGCCTCCAATGTAGTCAAAAGCAATGCACAATTAGCACTGAAGACTGGAACCAAAACGTTACTCAATGACACTGAAAGGAAGGAAAGTGTGTTCAGAGGTGGCACAGTAAGAAGATGGGTCTGTAGAATAGTCATGGACAGTTGGACATCGACAGTAGAACAGCTTGGACAGTTCTCATGGTCTAACAGATAATGGAGATCATAAGGGAGTCCACTGTCAAAACAGCCATAGTTAGAACAAACACTGAGATGTAGAAACCAGATGTAAAGTTCTGTTCTTGTGAGGGACATTTGATCCAGGAAGAGGGGCCATACTGAAGATGAATATGTGATGAATTGATGTGTCTAGGTTTTTGGAGTATATTGGTGTGAACTACAGGGTACCATGCAGTGAGCAAAACAGCACAGCCACTGCCATTCTGCCTGAAAGCACCTTGGACAAGACCATGAACACAGAGTAGGGAGGAGATTCACATAATGACTAGATGTATTTTGAAGTACAAACTCCAGTGCAAAGCTGGGATACCATCCAAGATGGATCCTTGGAGCTTTTTTCTCTCTCTTTTCAAATCTGGGCTTAAAATCCTGATAATCAGAACATTTCCCTGACACATACTTCACTCAAATAAAACAAATGCAGGAAATGCCCATCCTAGCTGGGTATATGGACTCAGCAGCATGGATACAATTTGCAACAAGAAGGCTTAGATTACACTATACCTACCAAAAAAACCCCAAAATAAATGCTATGGAAGACTTGAAATTAAGTTTGTGGGGGTTTGTTTGTTTGTTTGTTGGGGTTTTTTTTAAAACCCCACAGTGTTTTGGATCAAAAGAAATAAAACAACCAGGCACTAAAAGAAAAACAGCTTTTCTAAAGGGTGGACTATGAAGGAGGTCAAAGAAAAAAACCATATTCAGCAAGGCAACCGAGAGAAATGAAGTGGCATATCATGAATGTATCCCTACTATAACCAATAAGGTCTCTCCAAAGTTTGGGCACACATACACCCTACAGTGAGCACGGACGTCTGATATAAAACTTCACTGTTTTTTCAGAGGTTGGAGTTGTTTAAGAATCACAGCATGTTTAGCTCATTACATGCTACTGAATATTAGATTGCATTTCTTTTGATGTACACTCAACAATATCCCTCCCATTAACTGAAACTGGTCAGCAGTGTTTGACTATGTATCAAGTACGGCCTCAGAGGACTAGAAAACGTTTCTATCTGTGGAATGTTTCTAGCAGACAAGTGGAAGTGAAGAAACAAAAAGAATAACCGTAATGGGTCCCAACCCATCCTTAGGATTTCCTGCCCCATATTAATTGTAAATTAAATACCAGCTTTCTAGCGAATGAAGCAAGAGAAAGTAACAAGTTGTATTTAACTTCAATTTAGCTTTATTTTCCAACACTCTTAATAAAATATTCCAGAATTAAATATTATATACCTTTATAACTATGTTTTTATGTACTTACAATTTCTCTTCAATGTCTAACTCCTTCTGTCAAAGGATATTGAATGTTTTCCTTTTAGTTCAAGCACTCTAAACAGGATATAATTTTCCCATGCCACAAAAAGAAAAAAAGCTCATGAGGAAACTGATGTTTAAAGTATGCTTCTCTTAGTGATTAGAAGGTATCAATTTTATAGGGAAGCATTTTGCATGATGTTTTTGTAAAAAAAAAAATCAAAACAAAAACAACAACAAAAAAAACCAACAAAAGGAGATTAAACTCTTAACAAGATGAAAAGCTGTTTGCATTCTATAGTCGTAGCTGACACTTTACCTTTCCTGTAGTTTCTCATCAGAGATCTGTAATTCTTCTTTTAAGTTCTGGTACCTATCTTCCCTTAACAATCTGGTTCCGTCATAGAGAGTCAGTTCTCTGTCATGTATTAGTCTGTTTGAAAATAAAGAATAAACTTTATCTAGCCTTTGCTTGCTCTTTATATCAACTAAGGCTGTTTTAAAAAGTTACTTCAGTCAATATGGGTCGTAGTAGAAAGAAAAAGTTATACCAATACAGTATGTATCCAGGTGTGGAGGTAAAATAACATGCATAAGTAAAGAGTTTCAGTGCATAGTCAGTTAGTCAACTTAGTTTAAACAGACATGGTAAGAAAATGAAAAATCAAAAATTCTGTCTTACCAGTAGAGTGTGCATAAATGGCATGAAACAGCCATTTTGATATACTTGTACCAAGTAACATACTTCTGTTTTATTTGTTGAAGCAATATATTTCAGTTGCCTTTAATGATTAACATACGTAACTCAGCTTTTATTTTTTTCATGCAGAAGTTGATTAGATACAATGCATGCACATGTCAGAAGAAAAATCAGAAGGCAAATCTAAACTGATTAAAAAGGGAAAAGGCAAGCATGATTTTCTCTTTTGCCCTTCTGTGTATATACATAATAAAAAAAGGCACAAAATGGTTTTGCTACAACCTGCTTTTAAAGCTGGTGATGTCCTTTAAATTTGCAAAGGCAGTATATGATGCAGGCACGTGAAATAGCAGAAAAATTGGACCTGACAGTACAGATTATTATTAATATAGTATTTGCTATTACTACTTCTGTAATGAAAAGTTTAATTTATTGTTTATTGAATTATGAAATAATGTTCAGAAGGAGTTTTTTGTAATCAATACACAGAACGCTTTTACATATAACTGTTATGATTGCATTTTCTTTAGAAGCAGAGTGCAAAGTATTTTAAACATTTTATGACACCTTGCATTTTCAAATGATTGCACAAATATTACTAATTTTCAGATTTCATAAGTTTACAGTAAAATCTAGCTCATTCTTCAATTCAGACTTACATTCTATATTTACAAAGAGCTGAAATTTACAAGGAACATGAAAGAATTGCTTCTGCTTTTAAGTATGTAAAGACTGAACATTACATATTCTATGAAACTTCAATGCTCAGCTTGATCTTTACAGTATTCTTGAAGTTATAGTCATATTCACCAGAAGGAACTTAATTTCTCAGTATGCACACGCTCAATAAACAGATCACGCACACCTAACTTATCCATGCTCACGTCCTGACCTTTGAAGTACAGCTAGAGTGCCAGGGTTAATTCGATGAATGCCATCAAGAATAACAAGCTTTCCTTCCAGCGCAGCAGTAACAAGTGGCGATGGTCTCCAAGCAGTGTCTCCATTAGGAAGAGTATACCTTTGCTGTAGCAAATCTCTAGCTGTCATATCCTGTAAGTATCAATTCATCAGAAGAATGTATTTATACTCTATAGCATATGCTTTCTCCTTAAAAACTACATTCTGGTTTTCCTGAGAATATACCCAAAGAAGATTAGCAGGAAAGCTTCAATCACTTTTCCAAAGAGTACTAGAAATAAATACATCATGAATCTACACACACACCACATTAAACAGTCTTTGGGAGATCGAGGCTTGCCAATATCACCTCTTTCAAAATAGAACAAAAGCCCCCCCCACCCCCTTAAACATAATGCAAGCATATGACAACTTGTACACAGCTTTGTGTACAGAAGGGGGCAGCAATTTACACCTGGAACAAAGAAAGTTATTTATTTCATATAGAAGTCACCTGAAAAAGCAAGAATTTCATCATTAATCTTGAACACAAACCAGCATGACACTCCACCTCTCAGCAGGAAAATGCAGTGGAAGCATCACAGAGTAAGAAAGAAGCAAGTAACACACAAAATATTGAAAGTGCATAGCATATCACAAAATAATGCTTAAGGGATAAATCAAAACCAAAGGCAAAATCTAGCACGTCCTCCATCACACGTATTTTAGATGTTCCATTGTAACAGGTAAGCACTAGAGCAACAGAGATATTAAGGGCCATTTTGTGACCTGGATGATGAAATTCCTTCCTCAGGCTGTGCTGTGAACACAACTTAACCTAAAATCAGACGAAAAAAAAATATTTTCTATTGTAGCTGTAGCTTTTGCATATGTCTTTTTCACAACTATAAACCCTTTGAACTTTGAAGAATAAAAATAGAACATGTTACGTCATATAGCCTGAATCATTTCCTCTTTCTACATTTCCTTAAAAGCCTTAAAATAACAGGACAAAGTCTGGTTCCTTCAGTGTTTCCACATTTGTATAATTTAAAGTCCCACATTCAAATCCACAAAACCAGACTGTATTTTTATTGTTGTATTTCCGTCTTTTTTACTGCTGTGTTTGCTCTTTTCTATTTTATTAATTAATTTGACTACAATCAGAAGATAAAACATTTTTATCAAAGCCAGAGAAAAACCTAAGTGTTCTTAGGACTTGAATCAGAAGTGTGCATTCAGTAGCTAGTAAATGCAGTATAACTGAATATTTAACTAACACAACTTCTGATAATTTACCTCTAGAGGAATGAAACAACATACAGTATGAATTGATTTGGAGTCTAGTATGCTATATAAAATGTCCATCTGTAATTCCAACAACCACTTGAGAACCATGTATTAATTTTCTGGAGATAAACTCAGAAGTGTATTTTGCTGCAAAATATTTTCTGAAATATAAAATTAATGATTATATCGTAATTTAAATAGTTGAATAAGATTCCATTTAGTGATGCTTTAAAAAGAAGTATCATTTGCTAACACTTGCACAGTTTCTGGAAGGGATTTGTTTTATGGCTAAGTACCTGACCAGTGATTTATCATTTCTTTTCATTTACTCTAAACCAATTTTTAATATATGATTTTAAAAATATAATATTATGAGATATAATGTTATAATACTCTAACACTAAAAACCCCTCCCTTTGGAGGGGAGGTAATGGAAGTATATGAATTAATCCCCCCGCCGCCTTATTCTGGGCAAAGCAATGCCTTGTCAAACAAAGTGCTTACTTTAATTCGTAACAGACATTATAACTTATACGTTTTATATTTCATTGTTTATTTTCTAAAATATCTTGTATACAGCAAAAAAGAAGTTTAGGAGAGAAAACAAATAGGATAACTTCTGTTCCACTCCCTTTCGCAGCTACAGCAATGCAAACGTCCAACCTAGCTATTTTTCATGGCTCACAGTGCTAATCATGTTCTTGGCAATTACGAGGTGAAAAACCTATGTTTCCTGCTTTTCATGCCAATTTGGACTCATATTTTATGAGTATTCCTCAAATAAAAAATTGGAAGGAATTTGTAAAGAAAAATTATGAGGTCATGCAAAAAAAAAAAATAGAAAAAAAAAAAGAAATCCTAGAAACAAAACCACCACAGTACACAAACACTAGTGATTGTGCTTAAAAGACTGGTTTTGCTGGGGAAGAAAAGGAGCAAGTTGCTAGAAAACTGTTATAACATCATTTTGAATATTGCTCCCCCCGACACCCCCGCGAAACTCTGAGGGGAGAAAATGTTTTATTTTAAACAATTTAAACCAAAAGTTCCCTAACTACAGTCCACAAAGAACTAGCTGGCTGCTGCTTCTCATTTGCTGTTGCTTAACTGAATTAAGAGACAACTCAGAAAAAAACCTTTCCTAACAAGGATGAGTTTCCTTTGTGAGCAATTTGTCTACAAGGAATTATATATAATGAGAAATAAGTATAATGATGTCAGATATCACAAATGAGACAGGAATTGTTCTCTGAGCCAACTGTTAATATAAGAGATGATCTATGTGCTCAAAAGGTTTGGGAACCCTTGGTTTAGGTAAATTTGATTCTCATCTCAGAAGATAAAAGCTTTTAAAGGTTTTTTTCTGTGAAACCAATGTAAAGAGCCATGCTTTCTCACACTATTCAAGCCCTTAAATCAACTTTAGATGGAAAGAATGATGAAGCAAATATTAAAACTAAAAGTAAACACTATAGAAATAAACAAATCTAAGAATTCATTTCTTCACAGACCCTGAAGAGAAACAGTGCTTTTCCTTCAGACCAAGGATAAGTGCCCCGCTACTTATTTTTGTGCCTACAGAAATTATTGGAAAATAAAAATGAACCATAGGATAAATAAAAGCCTCCTTAATTTTAGAAATGGCTTAAGGACAAAAAAATCAAAAAGACACTTTTTTGAACCAAAGTAGAAAAATCTGCTAAATTTACAGCACTATCAAACTTCTCATAGCCTTCATTGCTGAATTAATGTATGAATTAATGCATTTAACATTTGTTCTGTCATTAAATTATCCTATCACTCTGCTATGTTCACTTCAGCGGGAAACACTTCAAACCCTTGGCCTAGATTTTATTTCTGTAGGAATTACAGATCCCTCTGAAAGAAAAGATGTTTACTGAGTAACTAATTTCACTGTCAGCTCTTCTTATGCATCTCCAAAAGGAAGTCTTCTGCTCCTATTCAGCAAAGCTATACTAATTAAAGGTAGGATGTTGAAAGTGGCCATGTTTTTAAACAAAGAATTGTCTAATTTTGCTGGTGAATACCAATATTGTATTGCGTGCAACAAAAGAAGGTTTAGGGTGTGCCCGTTCTTAAGCAGGTTTGTCAAGTTGCAAAAGTTATTTTTCTGGGATGATTTAAAAATATGTTTACAGTGACAAGTGCAGAGAGAAGCATGCAGGCTAGCTGGACACACTCGATCCTGGCTCAGAAACTACACACCTATGTTAATACACCAGAAGGTAATAAGCGCTCCTGGGAATCCAGGTATATTACTATGAACATAACATCGCATTCATGAGGTTATGTAGCTTTGGAACCCAAATCTGCTCACACCTGGCCACATTAAAGCATAAGAAAAGGGCACAAGTCATCACTCTGACTCCATCTATGCAGACAGAGTTTGAGAGTTTCACCTTTATCAGCTGAAGCCGTACATGGGGAAGGGAAAACATTGGGATCCTGTCTGGGGAGCTACTCAACAGTGCAGGAAAACAAAAAATGGACTGTCTGTCTTTTTTCATCATCAGTAATATTTTCCTTTTCTATTTTCTCTCACTTTTTGTCTGTTTCAACCCGTCAACCTCACCACCCATCTCTCTCAGTGTCTCTCTCCCCCCAAATGCCATTGCACTTCCAAATGAGCTGCCACTGCCATTTCTTCCTTTGGAGGTCTCCATGCTGCCTGGGAAAAATTTAAATAAGCAAAGGGATGGAAGAAGGAGACCAATACATTGCATTAAATCTGATGCTAATGTTCCCCTGCAGCACTGACAATTATCACTTACAACTGTAAATCCTGTGCTATTTGGTGTATTTTGACTCATAAGGTCATGGGAGACTCTTGACTTCGTATTTTATTTGAGACTGTTTTCATTCCTCAAGGTTATGAAGAAAACCTCACATGTGTGATCCCTACTGTGAAAAGCTAGCAAATTAATTAATTCTACTTTTTCATCTTGTAATTTTTCAGTTTATGTCATCAGGTTAGAGTGTATCAAGATCTAAGACTGACAATTCTTTCCAAACGCGTACTGAGTGACCACTGGCTATGTGAGATCACTGTTAAGCATGACAGAGCTCGGGGTTTGCAAAAAAACTCTAGTGCTGTGAGAAAGCCTGAAGCACTGGCCAGATGAAATCAAATGGAAAAACCCTAAATGTACAGCAGCCCCACTGTGCCACGTTTACCATACTCTGAGATGACTTGACAGCTCCAAAACCTTCATTCCCTTATTATTCTGCATGTCCAGCCCTCCTGGAACAATTACTACTACTTCTGTGTTAACCTTTTTAAATACAAACTTTACATTTTACTTAGTAAAAACATTTGCTCTGCCCTTACTTTTTCAACTACTGTAAACTACTTCTTCCAACTCAAGAAAAATGCAGCTACCACAAGCTCCTTGACACCACCTTCGAAGCCCACGGACGCCCTTACGACTTCTCCAGCTCATCCTTCTAGTTATTTTACCCCATGACTGCCATTTTAAGGCAACGATGTCAACTGCCTCTGTGTGTCTCAAACTGTGTTAATGCACTCTGTCCCAAATTTATCTTTAAAGTCATATCTGTACTAAGTCACAACATAAATTAGTTAGTAACTAATAATTAGTAAATAATTAGTAACAATTAGGCTAAGGGAGGAAGATTGCTGTCTCCTTGTTATAGCATCTATGAATAATGAAGTTAATGTTCACTGTATGTAATATGTATATATTACATGTAAACACCAGCCCTAATTTTATATTTCTAGGATGCAAATTTTTTGAAAGTGGAACCTTATCTTCCAATCTCTACTGCAACACGGTCCCACCACAACTGTAATTGTCGGACTAAACAGAAATGTAAAAAAAGACACATAATTTATAATACTGATTAAAATTCCAAGTGTTAGGCATCAGAAAAAATAAACATGTAAGAGGATATTAGGAGATCTTGACAGAAGAAACATATCAAAAAAGCAGAAGAAAAATTAAGCCAATGGAACATGGGAAATAACTTTAAAAAAAATTGCCATAAACACAAAAACCATTATGTAGTCTCAATACAACAAAGAAACTGTCTTCCATACAAATAAAAAAATAGTGTTGACAATGAAGAATTCCATTATAAGATTAAATAGCATATGGACAAAAAAAAAAAGGAACGACAAAAGGTCTTCCGGAGGCATTCAACATGCAAGAATTACAAGTGGTCACCACTCTGACCTAAAGGCAGGAAACACACTTCAAAAGGAAAAAAAAAATAATCCAAAAAGGAGAAGACAAAAAAGACAAAGGCTTTTTTATGACACTCAGTCATGCCAAATCACAGAATGAGCTGTCAGTTCTCTGCAGCTAGGAGAAAGACCACTGTGTTAAAAGATACTCCTTACAGTTTATTTAGATTACCTGTCTTTCACGTTCACAATGAAATCAATAAAATCGAAAGAAAACATTATCAGGGCTAGTTTATATGTAATAACATTGTACTATCTATACTGTTGCACACTACCCTCTCTATTCAGGCCTGCAGTAAAAAGAGATTTTAGATGAGCATTATAAAAGAGAGAGTAAAAAATGCTCTATAATGATCAGAAAACTGCTATCTTTGAAATCTTTGCTATCCTTTATTGTTTTAACACATACTGGCGATTGTCAGTGATTTTAAAAGCTGCCGCTGTATATGAAGATAGTGGCAGCTTTTAAAATCACTGAGAGAGAAAGAATATACACAAAGAATCAAAGTCTATGTAGTGTATTTTAGATCGTATTTAAAGAATGATCATCAGCAGATAGTTTACTTACCTGGTACAGCATGATCGGTTCTATGCTGTATCCCAGTATATCAGCAAACTCCTTAGCAATAACTGTTTTGCCACAGCCCTAAAAAGTTAACAAATAAGAACTAGATTACATTCTAAGGAACGTGGGGAAGGAAGGAGAAAAGAAATTTAAATTCTTACTTTTCCTCCAATTAAACACATATCTTTAACCATATGGGATTGCATCATTTCTGCCAACAGCTGATTATGGCTGGAAGTCCTTATGAAAGTATCTGACTGAGGGTGCTTTTTCAACAGCCTGGTCCCAGCTGGAACCTATAAAAAAGAAAAAAAAAAAAAAAAAAAAAAAAAAAGCTATACTGTGATAACTCTGGGCTTTGTGTGGACTGGGCTACACTTCTCCAAAACTACTGTAGTATTTCGCTGATGACTGTCATCCAAACTTAAATTTTTCACTTAAGAAACTTTCAGTCATATAATTTCTAATAGATGACCTCCTTCACACCTCCCTTGCCCGCTCTTCATGAAAAGTAACAACAAAACGTGAACCAGTTCAACTACAGCATTGGGGTCTGCAAAGAACTTATGGCTGTTCATGCTAGAGACAAAATATAAAAATCACCAATATTTATTGCTCATCAGTGAAACATGGAAGAGAAAGAGCAAGTTGTATTGTGAAAATCTGAAGGACATACTTTGAGCAGAACTTTGGAGAGCTTCAATCATTCCCCATGTTAAGGCACTTGCTCTATCTCCACTTCCCGTTCTAGTCTGGGAACTGCTTCCTCTGCAAACTCCTTACGTCCACCTGTTCCCCATGGGACATTCTGCAGATCTGTACTCCCTCCACGTCGAACAAAAGCAAGCATCTTCCTCTCAGAAAAGAGTTGAATCAGGTCCCTACAGACTCACCATTTTCTGACAAATTCCCATTTGCTGCTGTTCCCCTTATCACTTTGTCATGGTACAAACTCTCTGAGGATACTCCTTACCAGTGTTAATATGATCTCTCTCTGACTCCCACTAATTCACCTTCTTTACAGAATCTCTAGACTCTCCAAATTCAACATCAACTTCAAATTCTCAGATCAGCATCTGTTTCCTGAATAAGACGTTATTTCACCACCTAACAGGTCATAAACTTCACTGGAAGAAACTCAAACTAATCATATTTGATGTGACTACTTTCGTTCCATTTTCCCAACATCCTGTGTCGGAACATTACCAAGCATTCATTAGACTTTATTTGAAGTGTAGACAAAGACGGACTATTGCTTTTATTAAAAGAAAAAGGGAAAGTAGCACTAAGAGCATCATAAGTACTCTCTGTTATTCTAATTCAATAACAAACCATGAAATTTAGAGGCTTTCCTTTCATCCATTCTTTAGCATTTCTTTTAACACAAGAAAAATGAATCACGTGTCGGAAAGTACAAGTTTATCTAGAAATAGAAACTTGTGAACCCATAATCTAATATTCCAGTATCTAAATGCTTTTCTAATAAA